CCACTTTAGATACCTCGTATCAGTGGAATCATACACTGTTTGTCTTTCTGTCACTGGCCTATTTCACTTACCGTAATGTTCTTACAATTGATCCAGGTTATAGCAGGTGATAGCATTTCCTCCCTAAGTACTGTTCCATTGTATGTATATACTACATTTTGTTTATCCATTCATCTGTGGATGGACATATAGGCTGCTTCTACGTGTTGTCTAATGTGAATAAAGCTGTGATGAACACAGTTATTTAAATATGTCTTTGAGATTATGCTTTCCATATTTTGGATATACCCTGAAATGGGATTGCCAGACCATATGGTAATTCTGTGAGGGACCACTGTGCAGTTTTTCAGAGCAGCTGCACCATTTTACATCCCCACCAACAGTGCATAGGGTTCCAATTTCTCTGCAACCTTGCCAACACTAGGTATTTTCTGTTTGTTTGTTTGTTTTTTATAGTAGCCATCCTAATGAATGTGAAATGATAGTCTTTGTGGTGTTGGTTTGTTTTTGTAATGATTTGTGATGTTGAGTGTATTTTCATCTTTTCATATGTTTGTTTGGTAATTTGTAAATCACCTTTGGAAAATGTCTACTCTAGTCCTTTTTCTATGTTGTAATCAGGTTATTTTTGTTTTTGTTGTTGATGCTGTTTATATGTGATTTGCAGCTACATCTCCCATCCTGTAAACTGTCATTTCACCTGTTGACTGTGCCCTGGGATGCACAGGGTTTTTAAGTTTAACGTTGCCCCTAATTTTGCTTTTGTTGCTTGTGCTTTTGGTGTTGTATCCAAGAAGTAATTGCCAAATTCAATGTATTGAATGTTTCACCTTATTTTTTTTTCCTTCTATAAGTTTTGTAATTTTAGTTCTTATATTTAGGTATTTGATCCATTTTGAGTTAATTTTTGTATATGGTGTAAGATAAAGGTCCATCTTCATTCTTTGGCATGTGGATATCTCACTTTCTCAGCATCATTTGTTGAAGAGAATGCCCTTCTCCCATTGAGTGGTCTTGGCATGCTTGCTGAATTTGACCGTTTATGCGAGAATGTATTTCGTCTGCCCAGATACAAGCTATCTTCTTTCGAAAAGCTCGTGTTCTTGTCTTTGCCCACTTTTTAATGGGGTCGTTTGATGTTTTCTTGTGATTTGTTTGAGTTCTTTGTAGATTCTGGTTATTAGCCCTTTATGGGATGTATACCACCCAATATTATCTCCCGTTCTGTAGGTTGTCTATTTGCTCTATTGATTGTTTCCTTGGCTGTGCAGAAGATTTTTAAATTTAATCAGGTCCCATTTATTTATTTTTGTTGTTGCCGTGATTGTCTCTGGCGTCTTCTCCATAAATTCTTTGCTTAGGTCGATATCTATGAAGAGTTTTCCAACCTCATCTTCTAGAATTCTTACAGTTTCATGGCTTAGGTTTAAGTCTGTTGTCCAT